CCTAACCTAACACTAAAAAAAAACCCCTAACGAAAAGTCGCAAAAAAATTTAAAAATTTCGCGACATCTAATATATAATCTTGAGAATTGCCGCCTTGCAAAGTTAATGATAAAAAATATGAAATTGATAAAATAAATAAAAAGAATAATACTGAGACTATTATATCAATAAATCTTTCTCGAAATAAAACTCTATTTCTTTGTTTTAATGATGTAATATAAAGGTCAATTAAGGAACTTATTTCATATTTTCTAGAATCTTCAGAATTATTAGACTCAGAATGAAATCTTGATCTATTATTAGGCTTACGAGAATAAGATCTTGGCTTACGAAAATAAGATCTTGATTTATCAATCGTACGAGACTTTTGAATAAATTCTTTATCAATGTTTAAATTATTTAGCTTAAATACATTGCTACTAATCTCCGTTGAACAATCATCATACTTTTTTTCATTTAAATAATTTAAATATCCGGTGATTAATGTAACTAGTGTACCAGCTGCACCAAAAATGGTTGGTAGTTGAGAACCGCCAATATTTTTTATAAAATTAGTGGTATCAGATTTCGATTCATATGTGAATAATTGACCAAGGAAAATTGAAAATCCCGCAATAAAGAATTGTGCAGCAAAAACATTAGTACGTAAATTCATGTTTTTTTGGTACGTTTTATATTCATCATTTAGTGTTAAAAGAAGATATTTGACTTCTTTTTCGCCAAGTTGAAAATCACTTGAATCTTCTTTATTTAATAGTTTATTATTTAGCGATATTTCAAGATCTTTGCATCCTTGGTCGCCAAATTCAATATTAATTTTAATAGAATTTTCTTCTGTATCAACTTTAGCTGTTGATTTTCCTGACATTTTTGAAATTGAATTTTCTTCAGTAACAACTTCTTTTATTATTGCTGACGTTGAATTTTATTGTAAGTAGGAATAGAATTGAAGTTGATTTGGAATTATTAAAGTTATGGTGGGGAATAGATTTTAGGTGTAGTTATTATATTCAAATCTAAACGAGTTTCAAATCGATTTTAGCTCCGTTCCCACTCAACATATATATATTTAAATTTATACTATACTTCACATTATCTTGATCATACTATATAAACGAAATCATTACAGTGCCTATTCTTTGATGTAACACTACATAGTGTTATGTTAATGTCTTCTTTTATGATATTCGTTTTTGTACTTTCATGTGAATTCTTCGTATGGCGCTGGAAATCTAAGAGTCTTCAATCTTTTTGTATAGGAATAACATGCCAAAATAGGATGCGTGTATGTACGATGCAAGAAATCTAAAAACCACAATTATACCTTATAAAGATAAAATATTAACAGTGAAATTAAATACTTAAATTTATTGAAGTCGATAAATTTAATTTTAATGTGCTACTTGATTATAGGTTACAGATTATACCAAGCTGATAATCAAGTAACACATTAAAATTCATATTTCTTAAATTATCGACTTTAATAAAAGTATTTACATACACACTTTTTTGATGTTTATGATTTAAGATTTCAATGTTTGTATTTGTCTGTATAAGGTATAATTGTGGTTTTTAGATTTCTTGCACCGTACGTACGTACGTAATAATGATAACAACTATTCGTATATATGAAATTAACTTCTGAAGTTGGATATTCCTTGTGTAAGTTGATAATTTTAAGTAAGTGCAACTTCAAATTCCTAAAGTTGAAACTTCAGGCGGGTATTGGCATGATACATATACTATATACTGAATTTTTAAATAAGAGAATGACAAATTTGAAATTTGTTTACGTATCACAATGAGTTTATTAAGTATTGTAATAAAGTTACCATCTATCTGAAGTTGTAGATAGTAACTTTAGATTAGAGATTGTACCCGGGTAGACATTTTTATTATATGGATTACCCAGGTAACCGGGTAATTTAACAATACCCGGGTAGAGATTTCCTTGACGGGTACAATCTCTACTTTAGATACGACAGTAACACGATATAATAACAAAATCTATGCAAATTTTCTAAATTATCAACCTAAATAAAGTTCAAGAAACCTCCAATCCTTTTACATAGTATAATACGCCAAAATAAATGTATTTAATAGTATATAATTATTCATATATATTTATATATTCTAAAACTTAAATAAGATTGTCTTCAATGAATCAGTTACCTTTTATTCTAAATATGAAGTTATTGAAACAAAAAGGTGTGAACTGTCGAAGATCATAATGAATAGATAAAGGTATTTATTCATATTTTCCTGAGTTTTCAAGATTTACTCTAATTGAAGTTTTAATTTTTACTAATTTGAATTCCAATATAAAATCATTGTTCACATATGTATATATTAGATGTCGCGAAATTTTTAAATTTTTTTGCGACTTTTCGTTAGGGGTTTTTTTTTAGTGTTAGGTTAGGGTTAGTGTTGTTTGTAAAAATGTATATGTGAATTTTAGTATGTATTATAGATTTAAATGGGGACTCTAAATTTCAGCATCAGCCGTGACATTAGATAAGCTACTATTGAAAATGACAAATTTAGTTTATCTCTTAAAATTCTAATTTAACTAAAGAATTTCGAATTCACTTGATCAGCCGTGACTAGGGATAAGATTCGGTAAATTGAAATTTCATGTGATTGTAATTTTGAACACATGGCATTTAAGTTTCTGAGATCAAATTTCGGTGATTTATGAATTACAATTCGGATCGTACATTCAAATCAAACGATGCAATAATGCTGGTCAAACTTTTTGTAAATCTGGTACTTAAGTATGACGTGTGAAAAATTACATGAAATTTGGTTTTCTGAAACTTACGTAAAATTACATGTAACGTAAAATTGTAATTTATGTAACACATCCCTAGCCGTGACATTAATAAGCTACTATTGAAAATGACAAATTTAGTTTATCTCTTAAAATTCTAATTTAACTAAAGAATTTCGAATCCAATAAATTTCAGCATCAGCCGTGACATTAGATAAACTACTATTGAAAATGACAAATTTAGTTTATCTCTTAAAATTCTAATTTAACTAAAGAATTTCGAATCCATTTAAATTCCATTTCCACTTACAATAAACAAACGTCCCTTAAATATTTTCTGAAATATCGACTTCAATAAAGTATTTACGTAGTACTATTATGCTAATAAATTTAAATTTAAAAAATATTTGATTTCAAAATACTATTTGTTTAGAGCCCATAAGTGTTATTTCGAAACGGAATAAATGACCTGTTGATGGCGACCTTGCGCATACCCAATACTGACTTTGTTACAATAACCTAGAGCTCCAAATTAGAAAAAAAAAAATTTTTTTTTTCATCATTATTTATAAAATATTTACAAAAAACGGTGTTGGTTTATGTTGTCCTGCACTGTAATGGCTAGAAGTTAGTATAGTTATCATTTTAGGTGTTTTCAAACACCTCACTCAACAAATTTGAGGAAAACTTCTAATTAGTCGGAAATCGAATAAACTAACAAAGGGTGTCCTCAAACCTCATTCTCGCATTCTCGATTGATTAGCTAGTGACGCAATAGTGCACAGCTATAATTATGTTTATATAAAAATTTATTGTAGTACCCTAGCCATGGCGAAAAAAATTCTCAGATCACGTGCCGTAGATCGGTTTTTACGGATTTCTATTGGATGCCGCATCGATAATCCTAGATAGCCTAGTTCTTATAAATAAAATTTTTTAAAAATTTGAGCGGATATCTTCATAACCAACCGACCAAACTCAATGAATTTTTTTTTTTATTTTTATTTTTTTTTTTTTTTTTATTTTTTTTGAATTCTACAAATCCGTAGAATTCAAATAAAAAAAAATTCATTGAATTTGATCAGGTGGTTGTTGAGATATCTTCGCCCAAAGTTGTAGAAAAATTAAAACTTCTTGAAATACAAGTTGCACGCCAAATTTTAAATTTTTAAAAACTTTGAGCAAAGATATCTCGATAACCGCCTGACCAAATTCAATTATTTTTTTTTATTTTATTTGAATCCACAGTTGTAGAATCCAAATAAAAAAAATTCTATTGAATTTTGTCGGGTGGTTATCGAGATATATTCACCCAAAGCTGTAGAAAAATTAAAACTTCTCAAAATGCAAGCTGCGCCCAAATTTTTAAAAAATTTAGCGAAGATATCTCGACAACCATCTGGCCAAATTCAAAGAACTTTTTTTTATTTGAATTCTACGAACATGTAGAGTTCAAATAAAAAAAAATTCATTGAATTTGATCAGGTGGTTATCGTGATATCTTCGCCCAAAGTTGTAGAGAAATTAACCTGTCTTAAAATATACTGTAAGCTGCGCCAAATTTTTGATCAATTTTTATTGGAAGTTTCTGTCAATCTTAAACAATATATAATCTCCAATTTAAATTTTTTTTTAACATTAACCTTTAATATTCAGATACAATACATATAATACATATAAATAATATA